GGCTATGAAAATTTATTATATTTAAAGGGGGGGGGGCATGAAAAAATATTTTGAAGGAATGAGGGGCCATGAAAAATTTAATATGATTTCAGAAATATCTTCCGCCCCCCTGGCATTAATAATGACTGCTCCCTTATGGAAAAAATATCCATGACATGAAAACCTTAATTCTTCATAAATCACAACCACACTTTTGATATTTACAGTGAAAATTTGTGAAATATTCCTCTTACCAATGACTGCCTTTTCACACCCATTTTTCTTCATCATTTGCATTAATTCAAAGGTTCATTATATTTTGTCGTTCACATTTGAGTTGTGACTTGTATATATTTACTTACGATAGCCATGATGGCCCAAAATTGCTCATTTGGACACCCAGTTTTCAAATCCTGGCTAAGACCTTGTGTAACAGTTACAGAGTTACATGCTAAAAACTCGTTTGTTTTGAAAGGGGGAAGGGAAAATTGCTGAAAATACCTAGGGATATTACTGTAATGTATTTGTGCAGAAGACAGGGTATTAAGAGAAAAGACACAACTATTAAGGTTTCTTTAACCCTTTAAATGCTAATGTAGCAAATGTGCAACTATTTTTACTCTGTTAATGCTGGGTGATTTTATGCTTGTCAAATAGAAACCTAGCAAATAGCCACATGGTTATAGTAGATGACATTTTGAAGAATTGTTGGCTGACCCTCTGTTTGGGATTGTTTAGTGTTCAAATTGACCATTTGGGCAAATCAATAATTATGCAACTACTTTTGAAATACTTAAATATATATTTATATATTATATATATTTACTTAAATATATAAAATATTGCCTTTTTTCACAGAATGTAATTGATTTAACTGAAAGTCCAGAAAGTAAAAAATTCAAAAGGGATATTGGTGCAGAGGTAGGTAGTGTAAGAATGAAAACAAATTATATAGTTTCTACTGTATTTGAAGTCCGTATGAAACGAAATTTTGCCCTTTTTATTGTTTTGTTTGACAGCATGTCTCAAATAATAAGGAATGGTTGTTACTGTTTGTTCATATCTCATTTAATTCCCAAATAATTGCGGTTTTTAGAAATTGAGCTATGGCGTTATTAGTTGTATGTACTTGACTTGCTAGAGAAACAAGAAAGTCGTTGACACTTGGCAAGGTTACTTACTGCACTCAAGCAAATATATCAGTGTGTCAAAATGGTTGCCATAGGAACATGCTAGGGATGGGCCGATATCGATACCAAATACTCGATACTATCGATACCAGGGTTTTGAACAAAAGTATCGATACTGGCAAGAAATATCGATTGTTTCGATACTTCTGAGCCTGCGATATTTTTTCATTGTGGTCAGCGGACTAATCATGAAAATGATGCCAAAAAGCCTAAATAGGCGTAAATACTATCAAAGTAGTTCATTTTCTATGGTGCTTAATGGTCCACGGGCAGGATCAGAGTTTGTGGTTATGTTAGTTACAATCATGAAAATAAACGTGTTGAAAACGTATTCAACCAGCATGATTTTGGCGTCGAAGAAATGAAAATAATCTTTTCTTGTTGTGGTTGTTCGAGTTTGGAAAATATCGATATGAGTATTGATATCGACAAAAAATGGCAAATATCGAGTAAATATCGTATCGAATGAAAAAGCTGGTATCGCCCATCCCTAGAACATACTAGTTCGCAGGCCTCTATCTTTTAAGTATACATATTTTTGTTTCCAACAAAAATAAAGCAATTTTCTTTTTCAATTTTTTGGTTACTACAATTTCAGAACTCCTAGATATTTTGATAACTACTAATTGTTGAAATAAAGCAGACACACGTTAGAAAACAATTGAAAAATTAAAATTACGTGGCAGGAGAGAACTTTGAACTACTGTAGTCTGTTACTATGGCAACCATTTTGACACACCAATGTATTTGCTTGAGCACAGTAAGTAACCTTGCCAAGTTTCAACTAAGTTGGTCAAATCCCCTCTGAGAAATCCGACTTTCTTGTAACAAAATGTAACCACCATTCCAATTGCATTAAAAGTTTAAGACATGCTATCAAACAAAACAATTGTGCAAAATTTTGTTTCATAAGCATAAACAGTACTGTAAATTCATATCAAATATTATATAAATGAACGAATTCAATATCAATAGGCTTCTACTGTAATGCTGATATGAAACTATATGATATGACTTTGCAAATAAATTTCAGTTGAATGTAAAGAGATATGATAATAATGATGATAGTGATGATGATGATGATAGTGATGGGGTTCCTTCAGTACTTACAGGAACGTAAGTTAATATAATTACCCAATATACAGTAATGTACCCTGGTCCATCGCATATAGTGTAAGCGCATTGCAAATAAAGGTGCATGCACTCATATCCAAATATAGGCGCATGCGCTTCTACAGTAAATAGTCAAAATATGCATGTTTACTAAACTTAAAAAGAATGCTTTAATACACATATTTTTAACCTCGCAGTAAATTCTCGACATTCTCGTGATCATTATCATCTGCATACCTCTACGTACACACCTCAACTTTGGCGTAAATACACTAATGATTCTTCCGAGGCATTTCTTATTACCTTTTATAGCATGGTTCTGGGTACAAAATGGTGTGCGCCCACTGATCCCTATATAGTAGCTTAGCGCGATCATATATTTTTTCCCTAAAGCACCTGGGTACGAAGATGGTGTGTGCCTACAAGCGAAATTTTGCAAGCGCATGCCCCTGTCAAACGTTTTTGTTTTGCTCCAAAAGTTTTACAAAATTGCAGCAAATTCTCTTATATATGCGTGGAACACGGGAGGAATTTTTGTTTCAGTCTGATTTGTATGATTGTTTATGTACATCAAAACCTTGGCATACTTAATTTACGGATGTCACCGAAGTGTGCGAGCCACTAAAAATTAACACGACCGCCACGCCCCAAAAGAAAGCGTTAGCGACCCGCTCACAAAGACAAACGTTTGTTTCAAAACTTTAATGTGCTTCTGTTTGAAAATGTTGTCTATAAAAGGGAAAGGATAGAATATACAGTCGAATATGACTCCCATATGGTCATCATAAGTTAGTATTCTTTACGCGCGACAAGTGTGACATTTCATGAATGACGTGTTGCGTAAACAAAACGTTTGTCTTCGTTAGAGACCCGCCAACGCTTTCTTTTGAGGCGTGGCGGTCGTGCGAATTATTAGTAGCACGCACACTTTGGTGACATTTGTAATATTACTTCGATTTTTGATGAAAGTCTTTTTCCTTTGTGTATTAAGTGGTCGTCAAAGAATCACCCCATCATTATTGAATGGAAAGAAAGTAAAGAATGTGGATTCCTTACCATTCGATATTGATGGAAACCAGATCTTCAAGCTTCAAAACGAGGTGGATTCAAGGGTATCAGAAGACGAGCAACATGCAAAGGATCCCCTAGATGTCCAAATCAAAACTGTTGGTATAAAAGACAGTATGAACAGGAAAACAGGGTTAACTTTGAGAAGAAAAACGGAATCACTGTTTGTCACAGTTGCAACTCAGAAGCAGAAGATGTACCATGTCATGCAGTAAAAGTGTGGGAGGTTAGCCAAGACAAACAATGGGTGACCATTTATCATCATGGCGACCACACATGTGTGGCAATTAAAAAAGGCTGCGCAAAGGCGATCCAGGATGAAGCAGCGACTGCATTCCAAAAGTCACGACAATTGAAACCACAGAGATATGTAAATGATAAAATCATATCTACCATCGAGGAAGATACCACTGGTGCAGACGTGTTAAAAGTCGCAGAATCGTTGGTTAGCAATGCAACAATGTTGAATATCAAAGCACGTGCAAGAGCGGAAATGGATAGTAGTGGCGACAACTTTGATGCTGTTGGAAAATACAAAGAAAAAGTATGTGAAAAGCTTTCCGACCCATTTCTCATTTACAAGGTTCACAACAAATCACTGGATAGCAGCCGCCCTTCTTTTGTATTCAAGAGCAGCAAACAGCAGCTTCAAATAGCTATTGATATGGACAGAGAAGGAGACAATCCTCTTAGTCAGGAGTACTGCCATCTTGACGGCAACCACAAGCGATGTGCTTCGTTCAAAACTATCACCCTGTGGGTTTACCATCCTTTCCTGCGCCAAATGTGTAAAATAGCAACGATGGAAGCGGAATCAGAAAATTTGTTGTCTATGAACATTTTCTGGGAGGTACTGAACGAAGCGATTCAAGAGTATTCTAATGATGCCAATCGGAAGTTTAAACCATTTGGATACATGATGGATGAAGCTGGGGCATTCTGGTCTTCCATTTCATGTGTACAAGGAGTAGAAGATCTTCAAAGGTCTGTCAGCTGTGAAAAGCACTTCGACTTTACTGTGGCACGGCAGAAGAAGACCCTTGTAGGGGAAGATACAAAGAAGGAATTCAAGTTTCTGTGCGAATCTGTGAGCAAAGCTGAAACTCCCCTTGTATATGAAAAAGCTGCGGAACGAATGGTTCAATTTATTGCTACCCATACTCACCTACAATCATGGTGGGATTTGTGGCAGAAGAGACAAGGTCATGTTTTTCGTGCATTCAAGCCTCTTCACAATGTGCCAAGAACCAATCACGCTGAAATTGGCCATTCGCGCTGGGTAAAGATCGGAGCAGTCAATCTTTCTTCAATCGACGCGTGTAGAGAAGATGTTGCAGAGAGTGTTAAACTTTCAGCTTCTTTGGATGCCTATTGTGCTGGTGCCTTTAAAGGTGGTACAGGTCCAAGTAGTGCTGACCTGCGAAAACGAAGGTATGCTGAGCAGAGCAATAGGGCCGATGCATACATTGCAGAGTTAGATGAAGTCGCCCTCGGGGATGTTGTTATGACAAACAGGGAAACATGTGGTTTCGTTGAGCCAACATCTTCGCACAGACATGATCCTGTTGAGAAATCACAACATAGTAAAAACGACAGAGCCACGCCTTACCGACCGAAGCGATCAAAGCCTTTTTTGAGATCACTTGATATTGCAAAAAAACCAAGAGGTCTTTCATAGTGCAAGACAAAATCATCACAAAGAAAGACGCTTGTGTACATCTCAAGCATGTGACTGGGAAGGTCTATGATGTCACAATTTCCACATTTCCGCAATGTCGCGTACTGTACTAGACAAAACTTGTGCTCGCATGTTCTGTGGGTCTACTTGTTTGTTTTCAATCTACCAGAATCGAGCGACCTTCTTCAACAAAGGGCTCTTACATGTGACGAATTTGCTGGAATCATTTCAAGTCTCAGAATATCTCCAAACGTCTCAGCAAACAAAATGCTTCAACCTGGGCATTCCAATAGTAATAACGCTTCCACCTCGTCCACATCAAATGCTGGACGTTCCATTGGTAACGCCTCCACCTCGTCCACTTCCATTACTGGATGTTCCATTGGTACCGCATCCACTTCGTCCACTTCAAATGCTGGACGATCCATTGTTAACGCCTCCACCTCGTCCACTTCCACTGCTCATAATCTACTGGCTGGATCATCTACAAATATCGACAATTGCACCTGGGAATTGATACGTTACGAAGGAATTCATAAGGGACGACGACCACACTGCCGAAATCCTGCCTGCAAGTCTGAAGTAAGTGATGGGTCACTAGTTATCATCGCCAATGGAATGTGGTCTCCTCCATATTTCAATGCCAAAGGAGAAACATTCAAGGTCCCATCGAAATTTTACTTTTGCCTGAGTAGCACATGCTGCATGCATACGCCCACAGGTAGTGATGTTTTACCACCACAGGAAATATCCATAAAACAAGCCCTTCTTCACATGTTGAGTTCTGATGAATATAAACAAATTTCCAATCTTGGACTACCATTTACTTGGGAGTGAATATGAAGCTTGTTATTCTCAAACAAGATTAATACTTGTATAGAAACAAATTTACGTTGTTGTTTTTCATATTGTTTTCAATTCATCAGTGTGTTAAAACAAACACAAATATAAGCTTTTTAATGACGTAGTCAATACAAAACTGTGATGTTAAAAGACTTGTTTGTGTGCATATTGTAAATTTCCATAGTTTTTCGTGATTAAAAAGCGTTGAATGAGCGAAAACAAGTATGGACTAGACAAAGTGCATTTCGCTTTGCTTTGCGTTTCGCTTTGCACAAAAAAATATGCAGCCAAATCAAGCCGAAAAATATATCAGATAACATACAGAAAGAAAAACTTTACAAATACTACAAAACTGATTTAAAATCGAATGTTTTTTCACACTTAAATGCCTTTTCTTTGATACAGACACAGTAGTTTTAATTGCTTGTTTATACTACACTCAGCTACCAAAATGTCTTCAAATTTCAAAACCTACATAACTGATAAGGATATCATCTGTTATACGTATAACTGTAGAGACAAATCCATCGCCTGCAAGGCAGCATTCTCTGATATGAATTAATGCTTGTTTCATGAAAAACTATGGAAACTTACAATATTACTAGTAACACCATCTTGTGTTCATAGAATCGCTCTCGCAAGCACCACAAACACGTCTAATCGTACTTGTGTTTTAGTTAACAAATGGGACATTTTTATGTCATTACAGTTGATTTCATGAAACTTTGGCCACGCCAGTTGCCAGATTGGTTGGGAATTTGGGAACTATAAACACGAGATCATCAAGTTGATTGGAAACCAGCCAGTCAAACTTTGGCCACGCCAGCTGCCAGATTGGTTGGGAATTTGGGAACTATAAACACGAGATCATCAAGTTGATTGGAAACCAGCCAGTCAAATTCGGAAGTTTCGCATCAAATTCTCGAAATTCGTTATGAATTTCCGAGGCAAGGGGTGTTTGTATTCCGAGTAATGAGTAATGAATTTTCGTTCTTTCTTTGGAAAGATAAACCATGAAAACATTGGCAGTGATTCCACTCACTTCTTGCCGTGAATAATTATAATGCTGTGATAGTGTCAGCCGTTTAAACTGGTATGATCAAATATGGCCTGCATAATTTCGCTTATAGCATACTTGTTTTTATCATGTCACATATTAACCAGTTTAGACTGTTTAGCCTTCAAAACGTTTGTCTCTAAGTTGAATAACATGTTCGCAATAGTAGAATACAAGTAAACACTAATATAGCGGTCGACAAAAATCCAGAGGGAGCAGAAATTTCGTGTTTTTTCTTCGATTTAAAGAGTAATATCTTGGTTTTATAAACTGAAAACTTAGTTTTCGACAACGTTTGGACGTCAATTGCGGATTTTATACTGGCTGCATGACCGCAGAAAGCAAAACAAATATGTCGGCCGAAAATTTATCATAAAACAACCTTAGTTTATACCACAGTATTCTACAGTATACTATTGCGAACATGTAATTTTCCAACTTGGGGACGATCGTTTTGAAGGCTGAACTGGTTAATATATATGTGACATGCTAAAAACCAGTATGCCATAAGCGAAATTATGGCCATATTTGATCATACAATGACATCGTCACAGCATTATAATTATTCACGGTAGAATCACTGTCAATATTTTCAGTGTAGAATCACTGTCAATATTTTCATGGTTTATTTTTCCAAAGCAAGTACGAAAATTCATTACTCATTACTCATTACTCGGAATACAAACACCCCGAAGCAAGTTCGCAAATTGCAAACGATTTTGACAGTAAATTTTAAAAACTAAACTTATTGTATTAAACTTATTCATTTAATACAATAAGTTTAGTTTCGTGAAATCGACTGTAATGAGGAGCTTACTTCAGCAAAAGAATGTTATTATATAAGTTAAAGCAATGCTGCTGTTCCTTATTTGAAGTAGAGAGTACTGTTGTTGTTGTTTATTTTATTGGTTTTATAATCGTTATTTTCATTAAAAAATAACAAAAGGTTAAATACAAAAAACCCCGATTTTTTAGACTCATAACTCATTGACTCATAACTCATTGACTCATAAGACTCATTTGAACATTAATCTCCGATGAAACAGCCAAACAGAGATCTCAAATCAAATTTTCGTCATGTTCCAATTCAAAATATATATGGTATATTTATTGAAGGCAATTCATTAAAAATGCTAATACGTTTTATATGCTGTTTATTATGTATATATTAAAATTTACATACCTTGAATGGCTTGAATGAGCAAGTAACACGGATTTTCATAGCACTATTAAACAGTCTAAAATGTGCTCACCAGGCTGTCCAGGACTCCAGGTATAACGTTGCGTTGCGGTAAGTGTTATAATTGTGCAAAAACTTGGTACTTCATCCTGCAAGGATATAGTGGATACGTAAAAAGTCCTACCAACTTAATTAATTACGGTAATTTAATAGACGGCCCCCTATACCTCTTCACAATATGCTGTCACGTAAAAATATTTTTCCTTTTCACGAGTCACGAAAAATTGAAAAAATTCCTTCATGTTCACGGATTAAAATCATCGATCACGTTTCACAGCTAAGTAAAATCATGGTTGTTATAAGACCTGGTTAGGAAACCCGGCAAACTTCAAATAAATTACGCTATAAACAAATATGCAGGTTGAGCAGTCAGTTTGACTCTGCACACATTGGTTTTAATCAATGAGAATTGACCAAATGATGTAACAAACATTATCCATCACAGAACATCATTCTCCATCACAGAACGGACTATTGTCAAAACAATAGAAAGACAAAGGATTTTTCAACCCTGCACAAGGTACACAATCACCTAAAACAAAGGGTTTCCAAACCATGTCATATATATTAACTATAATAAAATAAGGCCATCACGATTGACACAAAAAGTATAGGGGGGCCATCTCACACTTCACACAAAACGTATAAGGGGCCCTCTTAATAAGCAATTCCAGCTTTTAGTTTATGCGTGCAGGGGGGAGTAAGGTATCATATTGCTGATTATGGTGGAAAAAATATTTCGGTTGTTTCGGCAGTTTTTATTGAAATTTTTCAGCATATTCAGCAATATGATACCTTTCTTCCTGTCACCCCCTGCGCATATAAATTAAAAGCTGGAATTGCCCATTGTGCGGTGACACGCTCTGGGCAACATGGTTTCGGTATATATCAAATGGAACCCAGGGTAATATTAACTATGATTTGTGTAAAATATCTAATACTAGTGTAATATTGGCCAGGGGACGAGTTCATGGCTGTGTTAGGTTATTTTGGATCGCTTTGGTTATTTATGTCGTTTTATATTGTTTTTTATATTGGCCGTTTTAGATCGTTTTTGGTCGTTTTAACAGTTTTAGATCGTTTTAGATCATTTTACTGGTCATTGTAGGTCGTTTTTGATAATTTACTGGTCGTTTTAGATGGTTTTAGGTGGTTTTAGGTGATTCCTTGTTTTAGTAACTATGTTTTTATTGACGAAAAAAGCTTTAAAGATTCCTTAATTTATAATAAAATCTAGTTATCAGCCCTTTTACAGTACAAAATACAATGAAAAGGGTTTCCTTTACTCACGTTTTGTTTGCAACTTCGAAACACAGTTTCCCACGTCGTGAAATAAACTTGACACGTCGTATAATTACAAGCGCATGCGCTCTTGGGATTTGCTATTGCACGAACACTTCCTGTGCTGTTCCAGAACGGTCGCTTCTCAAATCTTAAGTTTGTTAATGAGTTAACCACCAGTACTCCACCGGGTGTATTTGACTCATTATTTGTAAATATTAATGCAACTGTTGCATTTATATACATACCTTCTTTTGAATAACAGATTGCAGCTCCTTTATGAAATCAATCTGAGCTCCTTGTGCTGAGTCCGGGGGTTCTTGTTATATGGCAGATACTCTTCAAATCTTCCTTGCATTGTTTTATAAGATACGACCGAGGCAAGTCACTGTCTGGCGATACCATTGTGAGTTCATGGTAGGCAGCCTCTCCGAAACAAAATTTATCAAGGATAAACAAAATGTTCCTTACTTTCTGCTTTTCTTCTTCAGGCAAGTTCTTACAACCTCTCTTCTCATTGTCATTGTATGACAATGTGTGGGTGACACCATTTTCATCAGTGAAGCTTACGTTTTGCAAGTCCAATCCAAATGTCTTGGCAAACCATAGAACTTTCTCCACATTTGCTTTTCAGTTCCTTGGTTTCCTTCTTTGTTGGCGATCTCCAGTCTCTGTAATTTTTTCCCACTGTAGGAAAATCCCACGTTTTGACCAAGACCTTCAAGATAGTCGTGAAGATTTCGATTTTCATTTTTCAGGTTAGCAATTTCTTCTGCTCTGGCAAAATTTTTGCTTGCCATTCTCTCTGCATCCTGTGCTTTAAACAGTTCCTTGACCAAATCTTCACAGCATTTCTCCAAGTCCTTATTCTTGAGCAGTTTGGAGGCCAGTTTCTTCTCTAGCTCAGCCATTGATGCCAAATCATCAAGTTAAACTGCAAGCTTCAGTTCTTTCTTGAAAAGCTTTCGGTGACTCGATCCACATTTTTCAGAAGATTTCCTTACTATTTGACCACATTCTCTTCTTAAGCGCCCTTCGATGCATTCATTATCTTCTCTCAATTTTAATCCTGTTTCTTCTGAGAGAATTGCATTAAGAATTTCCACGTATGATGTGCATGCTATATTTTGGGGCAATGCTTGTTGTCGAGCTTCGTGCCATGTACAAAGGCATTTAAATGCACAGTGAAGACTACTCTCTTTTCGGCAGTGTCCTCTTTGGCCATATACCGGTTTCAACGTTGGGATCAACACGAATGCCATGTTTGAATTTGTCCAATTTCAAGAAGTCAAAAATAGACATCTTTCGAAAGCTAAATATGGATAAATAGTTTCATGATGCTATACGATTGCGGCAAATGTGTAGGGTATAAAAGGGAACGAGATATCAACTCAAGAACATTGTCGTTGAATTGGATTATGGCCATTTCCAGTTCGAAATATAGAGGTAAATTGTGAATATATTTTTGCGAAAAGTTCATTTTGTGTTAGGCAAAATAACCATCTGATTTGTTTATCAAGCAAAGGGACTCTTTTCAATTCTAAATCCATTGCGACATCTGATAAATACAACATCGAAGAACACTTAATATGTGAATAACAAAACTCTCATTAATAAACATAATAATAATAATTTAATACTTATATCGCGCAAATTTACATTCATATATGATCAAATGCGCGTAACAACTGTTGAGATTTAAAATTACACTATATGAGTAAAAATTTCTATTCTACTAATGTACCATAATGGTCCTAAAAGTTTAAAATAATTAAAACTAGCGAGTATATATATATATATATATATGTACATAAATATATCAATCTCATTAGCTTGACAATGTCATATGCTTTCCTAAATAAAAATGTCTTAAAAATGTCTTAATAAGTGTTTTAAAATGATTGAGGTTGGTCACAGTACGTATTTCTCGGGGAAGTTCATTAAAAAGTTTTGGTGCAGCTGCGGTGAAAGCTCTAGCTCTATCTATCTCCGCGAGCGGCTGTCAAAGGAAGTTGAAGATGATGCTCCAAAGATGTTTAGTTCAATTAGTTCAATAAACATTAGTGACATTTGCCGGCCATTCTAAGGCCGGTGTTAGCACAAGCGCATTGTGAATGTTCACGATTTCTGGCCATGTATTACATTAAAATTTGTGTTGTTCTAACAATCAATTTGTGTAAAATTTTATGCAAGCACAATTACATCAAAATTTGGTGCAAATGCAGTTTGAACCACAACATTAAATTGTAAATATAATTCTTGCAGTTATTTCAAAGACAACATTTCAAAGTTATAAACTATATTGCAAATTAATTAATATTTTTGTGGGACATGAAATTGATAAATTATATATAGGAGTCCTAAAAACTGCCCTGATCAACAAATAAAGGTATCAATAGAAATAGTGTATCAAAATGAGTAGCTGTACAAAGTTTGTCTTGTATGCGTTTTGATAAATCTGCTTTGAATAACGAGCTGCTAAAAATTGTGAAAATTAATTAATTGAGAACATTGTTTTGAGTGACATGTGTTTCCCAAACGGAATTAACAAACAAATCCATCACAAATATCAACAAAGATACACAGCATTAATATTTCCTGATATAATGGATATACATATTATATATGTAATCGAGTAAATGACATCACATGGTTTCAAACAAAATGAAATATCTCAAGAGCAAGCAATGTGAACCAATTTTTCCAAAAGAAGTTACTTTACAGTTTTAGGAGTTTTTTTTTTCTTTTGAGACAATAAAAATTTTAATGGCAGTGTCAGTGCTACTTTAATTTAAAATTGTTTCATTTTCTAATTTCCCAATTCTCTGTATATGTCTCGTGTTTTTTAACGCTAATATTTTTGCTATAGGCATGCCTAGAATGTTACTCACCGATTTAGTTACCTGGTGGTGTTCGCTAAATCACACTTGCACCAACTATGTTGCCTGTGATGTGTTCTTTATGTTTCTCTTTGTTTTATTATCATATAATGAAGATTCTTGAATCTTGATGTTTTATTTGACCAAAACTGATATCCCAAAATTATGGCGCATGGAAAAGAAAATCTCTTGGAAAGCGCCGCAATGGCAGACTTTTTGTTAAATAAGTATATTAAAACAACAACAAAAAGAAACATAGAGGAACTAGTGGCGTAGGTATAGAACCTAATTTTCTTGTGGTGGGGGAAGGGCTAAGCGAACGCATTATAGCCACAGGCGTGAGATTATATACCTTTGCGTTTCTCCCCAATTCAAAATTTCTCAGTAATGCATATGTTGTTCAATGGATGCAATTTGTTCAATGTTTTGTCAAATATAATGAAAATTATTTATGAAGAGTTTTAGACTAACAAATTTGGAAGCATTTTTCTTCCGATCTTCGTATATGAAAAATATCCTCTTGACTTTTGCGATATTTAGTGTTAGATATAGCTGCAAGAATATACGCTTGACATTTTTAAAATTGAAAACATTACAGTAAATGCCAGCCACATACATTTGTTATATACAAGGTTAAAATACACTAACCAATTATCTTTAAATACAAATAATAATATACATCACATACTTAAGAAACCAATAATTTGTGGAATTTAGAATATTTAGAATATTTTTATGACCAAAATGTGACATGCCATAGACCACTCTTGCTGTAGCGTCGTCAGTTTGGTTGAAAACTTACCTGTAATCTTCCAGAAGCAATTGCCAGTATGTCAAGTCATGTTGCGGACATGGCTCTCCAAGTTCAGAGTTCTTCCAGGAAACTTGACCTCAGTGCATCAAGTAATTGCCTTTTCCCATCAAAGCAACTGGCAGTCAGTGTAATCTCTCTACAAACAAAAATAAAAATCATGGGACCTTGTTCATACATTGCATCAATGGACAAATGATTGAATGATCTTACTAACAACATGGAATGAAGCATTCATATTACCTCATGTATTGGGAAGAGAATACAAAACCGGTTGCGGTTGAAAGTCACTATCCCTCTCCAGATAATACATGCTGATCTTTGGTGTGTGGATTGTGTACTTCACCCACTATCTTTAAACAAAAGTTGCTAAATCCTTTCCTCCATAATAAGTGTGTCCGCCTTCATTGACGAATTTGCTTGTGTGTTCCATACCAGTTCATGGGTGTGAGATTGCAACTGTGTTGAAGTTTGTGAGGGCCTGTCTTGTTTTTTCATCTTGTAATGAAAAAACAGCAAAGTCGGAAAATGTATCGCAAAAAATATATGAGGTGCGGAACACTTATTACAGTAACAGAATTGCACAGAATTAAAAAAGGGCGCACAAAAACGAGGTCGAGATAATTTTATGAGAGACCCTGGGAACGAGGCTGAATTTTTAAGGTGGGTGGGCGGGCGCAGAGAGAATGAGAGATATATCTATATTTACCTCTTGGACCTCGTTTTGGACACAATAAGCAATTATTGGATGAGGCTGAGCATGATATCAAGAATTATTCAGACCGAGGTCAATGTTATCTGCCGAAGCGAAGCTGAGGCGGATAACATAGACCGAGGTCTGAATAATTCTTGATATCATGCGAAAGCCGAATCCAATAATTGTTTTATTATACATTTAAAGACATGAAAAACGTTTAAATTCCTGTTCATGAGGTACTGTAGGAAAAGTACAATTTGAAAATGAAACACCTTGCACAAAGTCAAAGGTCAGCTAAATATTCTATTTCTATACTTCTATTTACCCCTTTGTGGCTTTTTCGTGCTTTCGCTATCCTTATCTGCCAATAATTTGGAGAGTTCACTTTCAATCAGCAAAGCAAATCTGCTGTAGGCCATTGTTTGTTTGTTTTTTCGCGCGCTTGTAGGTTCAAGCTTTTGGCCGCGCAAGGGCTTGGGCACGAGAGAGTCCAATAATTTTTTTTTTGGATGCAAGTTCGATCCAAAAAAACAATTATTGGATGCTCATGACGTCATCGGTGGAAAATACGTAATAAATGCCGAATACTGAAAATTAGCCGGTGCTTTCTGACCAATTAGAAACGAGAATACATATTAAATGTATAATAATAGTTATTATTAACTTCATGCATAGATACCAAACTAATGTTTTCTGGGTTTTTCTATATCTGATGTCTCAAGGAACAATTTTCCCTGTATTCGAAATATTATATTATCTTTTTTTCTAAAGTAAAAAGCAAATTCCGAAAATACAGGACATCTTGAGAATTCAATATATAATTCAAAACAAGACGCAGTTTGAGACTGTAAATTTTGGACTTTATTTCAAAGTCATCTTCAGACAGAATGAAATACAATACTTTACAACACATATATATATATATACAACGCAGAGAGAGAGCATCTGTCATGTGGGCAGAAAGAAAGATTATCCAAGCGAAGCGAAACATGATAGAGAAAATAGTAATTAACTGAGAATGGATTATTTCGCTATATTTACAACAATGTTTAATATATTAAAAGGAATAAGATAGAAAGGGAAGACCCGACAAGTAGAAGATATTAAGTTAAAGTGTTATGTGAACAGTTGTAGTTCTTTACTAGCTTTAAGTCAAGTGTTAAGAAAAGGTTTGTTATGTTTGATAAGCAGTGCTTCAAGAAAAGCAAGAATGTTGTAGTTGTTAGATTTAACAACTTGAAAGACTTTATTAGACTAATCTTTCAAATAGTTTCCGAGTTGATTGCCGATGGTACTATAAAATTCTATAAACGTTACGTTGATGACACTCTTGTTTTGATAAAACCTTCTAATATTTCCGCCGTTTTAGCTAAGTTCAATAGTTTCGATCCGAACTTAAATTTCACAGTTGATATAAACAGTTGTTTTTAGACATAAAAGTCTCGGTTGATGGTACTGACATTTATCGTAAGGACACCCACACCGGTCAGTATTCACATTTTTCAAGTTTTGAGCCTTTTCATC